TATATAATTATAGTATTTTTTTGGGTTGTAAAATTATTAAATTAATATTTTGCTTATCGTGTATCGTGTTACCCACGTGTATAACCGAACCAACCCTTTATCTTAACAGGTGCTTATCAGGTTGCCTGATAACGACCCGATTTGTTATCATGTCAACCTGAACACCTATTCATTTCGTGTCGTGTCAGATTATTGGGTTGTGTCAGAAATTGTCAGGCCTAGTCTCATCCTAAGCCTCTACTCCTGATTGCGAGTTGCCAAGTGACTTGATTGACATCTGAGTGGACCTGCCCCTGAAACCTTGCACTATAAAGTTGTCAGGTTTCCCATGTGCCTTTGGTGGTTCGAAAACACTTTACATATCTCAGTCAGGGTGAGCTAGTCGGGGGCTAACTTTAGCACTTGAGAGTATTCTCTTCTAAGCTCCTTGGACCTTGGGCTTTTTGATCTCTCTTGGGCTTTGACTTTACCTTGGGCTTTTCGTGGCCTCTTTCTTGGCCTACACCATTATGTGAGACTGAAAGTGCTCCACATTAACAAATAATGTTAGAGACACCAATTAAATTTGTACTTGAATTCAAGTGAATTTGATTGATAGTTTAATATCACCCTTTTTTTTTTTTTTTTCAAATTGCTTGTAATGTGTATAATGACTTTGAAATCGTAATTGGTGTAAGAACAAATTTCATTAGTTTTTGTTTCACAATAAATATTCAGATTTTATGATTAAATAACAATTTTTTTTTTTTTTTATGTTAAAAAAAGCAAGTTTTGCAGGTAGGAGAGGCTACCTCATCCCAGATCCAGGACATATCACAAATCTCTTTAAGAACTTACTAATGGGGTTTTATTGTTTTTATAGATTGTTTACCAAGAGGATTGCCGAAAACAATGTTTATTGTCTAAAAACCAAAAGGGTAAAAAACAATATACTAAAAAGAAAGCCCGGCAAACCACTTAATCTTCTACTGTTAAGTACACCATTTCAAAGCGTCCATGGTCACCATATTTGACTGCCCAAAGTCTTTTGATAACCACACCAATTTTTAGCGTTACATTCGCAAAGTATGTCTAGGGCATCACATGTGCATGAGTAGTGTTTAGTAGTAATATCGTGTTTATTGATAATTAATAATTACCAAACACTTAATGTATCATGATAGTTAGAAAGAAAGAATTTTAAGAGATCAAATTGATGCACGTGTCTTTTGTTTATTTCTTGTGTTATGCCGCTTGATAGTATTTATGGAGCATTTTTGCTTACCATCCCTAAACAATGCTGTTTGCTCACTATACACTTAATCATTTGTGACGTGTCCTTACACTTAACCTTGGTTATTTTTTTTTTTCAAAATTGAAAAGGTAACATTTAATGTAAAAGTTAACTAGAATTAAGTAAAAAGATACGTGACAGATGATTAGATGGATGGTGAGTATATACCATAGTTCAGGAAAGTGAGCAAAAATACTTCCTGGTATTCAAGCACCGCATCTTTTTGAAAATCAAATGACACTTTTATTTCCTAATTTTTACGCTTGAATTTCAAATGGATTATTGTGAGCTCAGATTTGTATTATAGGTCTGATACTAATATTGGCTTGCATTAAATAATTCATAAATTTAATAAATGTTGAACAAAAATATGGATGTCAAATTTGAATAGTTTAGAATTAAATTTCAATTCATTCAGGAGAAAATAAAAGAGAAGGGTAAATTACATTTTATCACCTCAACTTTAAGTATCACATATTTTGGACATTATAATGTCATATATCACTTTACGATTTCATTGATTACAATGTCATACATTAATTTACAAATTATTAGACCTCATTTACATATTTCTGTTAATTGCTGACTTAGCAAACGTTGTGCCCACTATTTCTTCCAAGCATATTGAGATATTAATTAAATCTAAACCATCTACTAATAGAACCTTTTTTGTCAATTAAAAGAAAGTGAAAATACTATTTAGTTTTCTATCACACCAAAAAATGATGGGCAATATGTAATTCAAAGATCCAAATTTTACTTTTTTTTTATTGAAACCTCATATATAGATGATGTTAAGATATATCTAATATTAAAAAAAACAAAAACAAAAACAAAAACCTTCCATCCCCACCCACCTTCTCTCTCTCTCTTTCCTTCTTATTTTAAAAATAAAAATAAAAAGTGTTCATACACACAAAATGATGTTCATACACATAAAATGTATATGCATATACTAGTATAATTAATGAAAGATTTTTCCTTTTTCTAAACGAAATTAAATTAATGAAAGAAACTCTCTCCCTTCTCCGTCCAATCCATCTTTCTCGTCCATCTCTTCCCATCCATCTTCCCCGTCCCTCTCTTCCCACCCATCTTCCACGTTGCTCGACCTCCGGTTCATGCCCATTAACCCGGTTGTCTGGGTTTCCTCTTCGTTGTTCAATGCGACGACTGCCTTCGATGGAGGAAGCGTCAGAGTAGTAGAGAATGGCTTGGCAGAGCTTTTTCGGGTCGCAGAAAACGGGCGTTGGGAAGTCGCGGGTCATCGTTCAGCAGACAGGGGAGGAGCAGGGACTGGGGAATATGACTTGGATGCAAGTGGGTTGAAAGCAGAGTTGACTTTTGGGGATTTTTGGCAGCGGAGCCAGGAGAGCTCGCTGCCAGTGTCGATGGTGGAGAGAGAGGGACAGGGAAGATGGGTGGAGAGAGAAAGGACGAAGAAGATGGATTGGAGGGAGAAGAGTGGGGGAGTTTTTTTTCTTTAATTTAATTTTGTTAAGAAAAAAAAAATCTTTCATTAATTAATATCTCAATACAATTGGAAGAAGGGGTGGGTCTCGCGCCTGCCACGATAGTAATTAACAGACAATTTGACGGAATATGTGATGGAGGTCTAATATTGCAACGAATTTGTAAATTGATATATGACATTGTAATATTCCAAACATGAAATATCAAATTATTGGGTGACCCAAAATTAAGGTAGTAAAATGTTGTTTATCCCAAATTGAAATAAGGATTAATATTAGTTTACTACCTTAAAGTTTTGTAGTTTTCAACATTTTGTGCATGAAGTTTTTTTTCATCACAGAGTCATTCCTCAAGTCTTAATTTTGGGACGATCTCATACATCATTTAAGTTGGTTGTTAAGTCAGCCTTAAACTAGTGATGTGATACCTATGTGGACAATGACTAAGCATTATGTGTCATTAGGGTCCAAGTGAAAATTAAAAAAAATTAAACAATTAAACAATTAAACAATTAAAAAAAATTAAATAAAAAAAAGGGACAATGATCGGCCATTTAGAGCAGTTCCACCGGGGAACTGATAAGCTAGCACCTAGCCAAAAAACCAGCCCGGCACCCAGGCTATCCACTCCAGCCTAGCATTTTGACCGGCACCCAACCCAAGCCAGGCAAGAGACTGGCCTAAAATCGACAGACCCACATGCCGGGCCATCTGACGTCAGCCGGGTCATCAACCTCCCGCACGATCAACACGTCGCAGAGAGATCTTGGTGCAGAGCTCCTCGAGGCTGAGGTTGAAGAAGGCCAATTTGCAGGCGGAGCAAAGGGCGATGGGGATGGGGGTTTGGGGGCCTTCGACACCTCCTTGAGGCTGAGGTTTAGAGATAGAGAGAGAGAGAGAGAGAGAGAGAGAGAGAGAGAGAGAGAGAGAGAGATCCCTTCCACTGTGTTCTTCCCATATCCCTTCATCTTGCTAATGGGTTTCTTTCTTCTGCACATTGGAGGGGAGTGGTGGGGGAGCTTCTGGGCAGAGACAGGGGAGGGGAGCGGTGGGGGAGTTTCATATCCCTTCATTTTGTTAAATTATTATTTTATAATAAAAATTAATAATATTTTAATAAAATTGACTAGGCTATTTGGTTTTAGGGGCGGAGATGCTTTAGTCTATTACTGTACACTTGAGTTTATTACTGCTTACTTGAGTGGACAAATGAGCGGGGTGCTGGCACAAAGTCTTTAGGGGTGGAGTTGCTCTTATGGGGACGAAGGTGAAGGCCAAACAAAGCCCATCACCTCCTTCTCTTCTCTCATTGCAACATCTCTCGTTCCGGTAACTCACTTGCATGCCGCCACTTGTCTCATCCCCTTCGACGCCTAGAAATCCTGCTCCATCAACAACTCTAACGTCCTCGCCGACTCCGGCGTTGAGATCCTCGACACCTGGCTCAAGACCCCCATCAAATTTCTTGTTTAGCCTCCAATTCTAAACTCTAGCCGCCCGAAGTTGAGTCATTCCGCGTCAACTCGATCCAATGCCCAAAATTGGGGCTAATAAAATTTTGGGGATTAGGGTTGGGTGCAACTTGATCTAGGGAGAGAGAAAGGAGGGAGGTGAAGAGGGTGGATGAGAGGGATAAGGTGGATCGGGTAGGTGAAAAGGGAAGAAGTGGGTGTGGGTTGTGGAGGAGAGAACAGATGGGTGCGGGTTGCACATGAGAGAAGGGAGGGAGGGTGAGGTAGGAGACGAGTGGGTCAAGAAGGATTTTTATTTATTTATAATTTTTTTAATATCCACGTGGGATTGACACGTGACACCCAGTTATTGTCTATGTGCGCATCACGTCATCAATTAGCGGGTGTTCTAATAGAAAACTTAATGGATGTATGAAAGTGTTACATAATTATGACTTTAGATACCAGATTGGAATGAAAAAAATTTCATGTACCAAATGTTGAAAACTAAAAAACTTTAGGTAGTAAATTGAGATTAAAAAGGATGGAAAGAGAGAAGTGGGGTTGGACCCGAGGCCCAAAGCCTAAGGGTGAAGAAGAAGCATCCAATCTAGTTGGGATGATAACTAACTTATTTTTTTTTTTGAACAAACGATATATGTACTATAGGAAATGTGAGCTTAGCGTCATAATGAGTTAGTAATAATATAGTTCAAATTCGACTTAAGACCTCTCACCTATAAATAAAAAATAAACCATTAAACCTTAATGGGACGGCAGAAACCGATTTTGTATTTTGAATCCCACAAAAAGGGGCAGAGGGAACGCCACTGTCTCTTCTCTCTGCTCTCATCATCTCATGTCGATGTCGTCCTCTCAAAAACACGAGTCAGTCGTCTGTCAGCGACTCACACTAAAACATCATTCCAAAAGTTCCACATCTGCCATCTCTCTCTCTCCTCCCTCTGCAAGTAAGTAGAACTTCTTCTCTCTCCCCTCTCTCTAAATTTATCACTTTTTTATATCGATAAGAAAAAAATCAAAAAGTGATAAAAACCCAATCTTCTCCCGCTCCATGCATCCAGATCTCAAATGCGTGGTTAGTGATGTCATTTGAATCACATTTGGAGGGCCAAGTCCCAAGGGCATTGGAGTAGTGGAGCCTGCCTGGGCAGACGGAGGGAAGAAGATGGGATCGGGCGGCAGCAAAGCGACGACGTCGTCGGCATTGCCTTCTTCGACGTCGTCGTTTGGTGGAAATGGCCGGAACCGGAGGCGTCGATCCAAATCCAAATGCCGCCGACTATTCAAGTCGTCATCTTGTCTGCGACTTAGAACCAAATCTCGATCTCACGACTGCGACAATGAACACCAGGTCCCTCTTGCTTCTTCTTTTTGAATTTAATTCCTGTTTTACCCCTGTATTCTGAATTTTTATTCAATTTTCTTTGAGTTTGAGCATGAATGTCTGAATTTTCGTTGGCGTTTGGACCACAATCTTTAATCTTACTTCATTTTATTAGCAACAGAAAAAAATTAATAATAATTTTCAACTATTTTTCAGGATAATAGGTTAATTATTTCTTACACTATTTTTTAAAATCATATACATGTTAATTAAATAAATGCTTTAGAAGTTATAATTGTGGTTCTGGACAGTAAGTATATAGGTGTCAAGGTTTGTACAAGAGTGTTAAAATGATGGAAAGAAGATCGGAGAGTTGCGTTTCGTTCTAATAAATGTTTTCAACTTGGTATTGTTAAACTATTTTTGGTTTGCTTTCGTTATATAGCGAAAATACGGGAATACAAGCAGGATTTTGTTAATTAAGCTTTGGTTATTTTGCCTCAGCTCCTGTGAAGTTGAATTAATTTTTCCCATGTAGAAAGTTCCCTCCCAAATCAATAATGTAGCAATCTTGTCCAAGGCTGCATTGTTAAAGGTGGCTACTTTTAGCAACACTTCCAATACACATCTACTCTCGGCTGTATTTAGGCCTCGTGATGGAGAGATTCTCTCATGTAACTAGTTTACCACGTGTCAGTTGTCTACGGTAGTGCACTTTTTGAACACTTTGGACATGATACTAGTAGGACTAAATATTGTTTGCATGAGAGGATCTCTCCTCGTGATGAGAATCTGTCTAGAACCTAGCAGTCCTTGTTATTCCAACCTAGGTCGTCCTTCTTTCCCACCACCGTCCCTGTCAACAACCTATGTAAGAACTGTCAGGAAAATATAATGGCTTTTGAAAGCTAACCCAAATCTTAAAGAATAGATTTGTAGTAAGTTAGTAACCTTCGTATGTGATCTTTGGAAATCTATTAAATGTTACACCTCCTAACCCTTAAAAAAAGTTCACCGACATCAAATCTTTTAGCTTTTCTATCTTGTTAGCAAGCGAAGAAACTCTGGAATGAAACCCAACTATATATTGAATCCTAATATCCATTTGTACTATGGAAAATTTTCTCACCAAAGATGTATTTCAAAGAGGAGCATGCCTGCCATACATTTAGGGTATTTTATAAACCAGGAATCACATTTACTTGTAAACCTTTAACTGTTAAAAAAGTAGCAGGTTTTTCACATGGGATTTTCTTTATTCATGGTTGCTTCTGTTTTCCTGATACAAGACTTCTATATTTTCCCTGCTACCAAACATAGGTATTTGGAAAATGTTTCTGGTACTCTGTCATTTGAAATTTTTATCTATCTATATGGCTGGTGTTAATTGGCCACAAATTATTAAAGGAACTAAAGTGGACTCATGCTTTAGGTTTGTGATCATCGGAACAAAGAAATCAGGAATAATGCTCCATGTGCAAGCCTGAATGACACAGAGCCAGATCATGCAAACATTGAATGTTTCAGAAAGGTTAAAGTTGAACAACCTGATGAAATGCCTTGTATAACTCCAAATGTTGAGCTGAATGAATGGGCTCAGGCTAGTATCACTGATACTGCTTCCATAACTGCTAGCAGCTCTGCCCAACCTTCTGCTACTCCAACTTTGAACACTTCAAGTCGTTTCCTTTCTCGCTTTAGCTTCATTCCAGGTAATGTAAGCTTTAGGTTGAGCCGAGCAACAAGTGTAGGGTCATCCAGGTCTTATCCTCTATCTTCGACAAGTCTCACAATACTGAACAATGAGGATGAGCTTCATCTACATGCAAGGCCTGCTAGCAGTTTGATAGATACAGATGAAAGCCAACAAGCCAATGGCTTTCTTCCAGAATCAAGGGTTAATAGGATGCCAACACATATTTATAACCACACTTCTGGCAGTGTACAATTAAATACTCCGGGATCTGTTTTTTCAGACCACTTGCAAGATAACCAAACAAATTCCTCTAGACGTGCTGTTGGTAGAAATGCTAACAGTGCAATAATGGGGGTTGGTGTAAACTTGTGTTCTACTAGAATTCATAATGAAATAGGGAGCAACAGAACAAGACCTTCTGATAGGCGTTCAGGAGCTCGGGAACCTGTTGAACGGAATGTTCGTTTCAGCAGAACCTTAAGTGTTGGAAGACTTCGTGACAGGGTACTTCGTCGATCATCATTATCTGATTTAACGTTTTCTTCTTTGCAACAAGAAGTGAGGGATACAAATCAGAGGGATGATACACGGAGTTTGGAACCTGAAGGTAATGTTGTAAACTCCGAAAATGGGTCTGGTTATTCTCCTTCTAATATGTCTAGTTCATTGTTTGGCATTCAAGACTATGGAGTGGAAACATCAAGACCAAGAGAAGCTAGGTATCATGATCTACTTGAACACAGATCAAATTTCCTAGAGCGGAGGAGAAGAATACGATCTCAGGTTTTGTTTCTTTTTCACACAGTAATTTTTGGTGCTTTGAGTGAGATTGAATAGAATAATAAATAGCATTTAGGCTCATAATCTTCTAAACGGATGTTTAATAATTGCAACCTTACCTTTATTGCTAATCCAATGCACCAACCAGTTGGCTGCCCTTTATGGACATTACTATGCCCATTGTTCCTGGTGGTTAGTTTATAGGTATAACTTGTGTGGAACTTTGTTAAAGGGAGCACTGAAACTTACAATCTGTTCTTGATACATTTTCCTCTCTCATATATTTCTTAATATAAATTTATAATTTACTTAATTACCTTGTGAAACTTTTTGGTTTGCTGATGCACATGTTTATTTTTTGTAGGTTCGTGCACTTCAGCGGTTGGGGAGCCGCTTCGAAAACATGTCTGGACATGAGAGGTCTTGTATCTTATCTGGTCAACAGAGAACAGGTCGTTGTACATGTCGTACGAGTAATCGAGATGCCCGTCCAAATGATGACAACAGTGCTAGGGCTAGCATATCAAGAATAGTTATGTTAGCTGAGGCTTTGTTTGAGGTAATGTTAATATGTGATTACCTTTTTGTCGTTCAGTTTCCTTATTAATTATATAACTTGAACAGTTTGGACGTAATTTAATTAGGTTCTGGATGAAATTCACCAGCAATCCGTGGTTTTATCTTCCCGGCCTTCTGTATCTTCAATTGGATCTGTTCCTGCTCCGAATGAAGTTGTAGAATCTTTGCCTGTCAAATTGTTTTCGAAGTTGCAAAAAGATCAGTATGAGGAGGCTGCACAGTAAGTATCCAAGTCTATCTAATATTCAGCATTCAGTTCACTGTATATCTTTGAAGGAGTTGCTGACCTGATTCAGTATGTTGCCAGTGTACAAGAATTTATCTGCTTGCGCTTTTTGAGATGCAAGTGAATGTTTAGCCAAGGAGATCTGTTCCATTAGTTGCTTTAATCACTGAACAAACTATTTGAGAATTTAACATAGATTTTCATAGTGCTAGTTAATAAGAGAGTCAAGCTTGTGTGTGTGTATATAAATTAAAAAATAACTTCCAACTTCTGGTCATTTTGGTTACATGCTTCTTTTCTTATCATAGTCATCACTTCATGTTGACTCAAACATAGACAAAGCCACAGTATTTTAGGTTTAGTGTTTGACGCAAACAGTTTAGGAAATTAGGTATCGCTTGTAGGTGCATTATAACATTTTGGGTTGTCTAGCACAACTGTGCAAGTTTCATTCTTCAGAGAGTCCAGTTCAAACAAAAATACCTTATCTTGGTTTTTGATTTATGGAGTTGGAACAAAAGCATGAAAACAACTAATTTCACAGCATTGTTCAGTGCTGAGCCGCTCCTACATGCCCAACCATATGTAGAATCCCAGTAGTTTCTATCCATATTTGAAAAGCATTCTAAATCACTACAAGCATGAAAACAGCTATAAATACAGCATTATTGAGTGCTGAGCGGCTCCTGAGTGCCTAACCATATGTGGAATCTCAGTATCTGTCCTTATTTGAAAAGCATTCAAAATTTCAAGAAGCATATTGGCTTGCAGTTAATATTTGAACCTCCTGAGTCGAGTTCTACATCCTTGTTTTAGATTATTCTCATTTTTCTACAAGAAATAAATTGCAATAATGGATAAGATTTTCAAGCAACCTAAAAATAGTACAATAAATTTGCAATCCCTGAGCATCCAGATGACTGTCAATTAGTGGATTGAGAGGATGTTCCTAATGCAATGGTTTATACATTTTGGGTTATGAACATATCTTTATCTTTCCTTGTTCATCTCTACTTGACTTAACATTAGCTTTTAGAAATGGTACCGAAAATTAGTTAGCATTGTGTGTAAACATGTGGATGTAATATAAATGTGTGCGTTGGTATTAAATTTATAATCTGATGTGTGTTGTTGGAGGTACATCATCTCTCTTGGTTAGCAAAAGGTAGTGTCTTTAGAAAGACAATTTTTTATGGGCCAATTATAACATGAATTCGATATCTATGTTTGATTTTTTTTTTTTTTTTTCTTTCCAAAATGGCATTTTTTAGGTTAAGAAAAGGAATGCAAGTTGCATCTCTTTAATATGGAAAGAGTTTAATAACTTTTGCTTTGCGTATCCTGTAATGCAACAGATGCTACATATGCCTTGTGGAGTATGAAGAAGGAGACAGAATGAGAATACTGCCTTGCCATCATGAGTTTCATAAAACTTGTATTGACAAGTGGCTCAAGGAGATTCACAGGTTCGAATAAATTTTCTGCTTTTGAATCTTCTAGTATGACCATTTTAAACAGATACATACTTTATTGACCTGAATAACATGGTGCGATGAGTGCTTTTGCAATATACTTTATATGTTCTGGCCATGATGCTGTTGAAAGTGGTTTTGCTAAATTTAGTATACTAGTTGGGTTGGAAAAGATAAATTGTCCTTCTGGCTTTTTGCGTGTTTAGTAGTAGTGCTCGCATGGTAGTACTTGGTGGTCTGATACATGATGGTATTGGTAGGGTAAGCTTGAATTAGAAAATGGTGGTTATTCATGGTAATATGTTGAAGTTAACCAGACAGATGATGAGAATGCATATTATACCCCAGACCTTTAGATCAGGTGGCATTGGGAGAGTGGGTAAAATATTTAGGTCCTAGGTCCAAAACTTGTAAAAAAAGGAAAATTCCTTTCCATTGTTTGCTGGATGGCCAAAATTTGTTTGTTTTGATATATTTAACTGACCAGTAACTCTCCGATTTTATCTTTCATTAATTACTGATCTATTCCCCCGTATGTTTTATAGTTGGAGATAACTTCTGATTTTGATTTACCTTTTCATTTCCCTCTCTGAGCTCTACTTGAACTCATTGCTCAAATCTTTTTTCTGGAAACACAAGTCCTATGTATCTCACTGCCACTGATTTTCTGGTTTTTTTATCGCAACTAATGAAACACTGATTAGCTCCATTATTTTGTTTCCATGATAAGTTTTAGAGTTCTCCCAGTTCTTGGTAATTGATTCTCATACTTGTTGCAGCAGCCAGTTTTCCTCTTTTGGCCTAACAATATAGAATGGAATTTTAAATGTAATACTTCCAAAGGATGCCTCAGGATATTTTATTTCTGAAATGGATCTTATCGAAAACCATTGATATTATACGAGCCATTTGTTTCCTCGTGCCACCGCTCTAACTAATATAAGTACGAACTAATAAGCTTAACTGGTTTTACTGATAAGCTAACTTTTTGTGCCGGAAATATCAGTGCCTCTAGTTGCTGACGTTTTCAGTTTGTATTCATATTTTGATGCTACTTCTACCGGATTAGTTTAACTGGTATGCTGTATGCAGGGTATGCCCACTCTGTCGCAGGGATATCTGTAGATCTGATGCATCGCCTGCAGAGAACTGAGACGGTGATTTTTAACTCTTCTTCTGAAGGCCTATGGAGAAACAAATACGGAGCAAAGCTTTTTCGAGGCAACGATAAGAAATGTTTGTATCATCTTTTAGGAAGTTCAGTCCTTTTATGCGTGTATCATCATGGCTGCCCCGCCATTGATTGCTCTCATTGCAAAATGTTAAATATGTTAAACGTTACTAGAAATGGACTGAACTACGTGCAATCAGCATCACCTCCAGCAAGAGGGAAACGGAGGAAAGGAGAGCCCCCATTGTTGTATCCCAAATTCTGTGCATACTGGATGTTTCCTGAGTTTGTTAACGGTTGATTTTAGTAGAAATGTGTCATGTTCATGTTCAGTTTAGTTCGGTTGAATGGGCTTCCTATGTCTACTTTTATTTAACATGCAAGCATAATGGCTAATTACCACATGCGCAAATGTTGGGTGATCTCGTGTGGAGTTGTTTTGATTTGTATCAAGGGTTGAGATTAAAACATCAAAACCAAATCAATTTATCTCCATTGATATCAATTTCAGTTGTGGGTTGTTGTACATTTCTTGGTCATCAGATTACCAAAAAAACATTTATTTATTTATTATTATTTAATATTCAATAGGTTTTATGATTTAGAGTTTCCGAGTTAATAAAATAGATATGAATTGGAGAGAAGAAAGAACGGTCGTAATTCGATTCCTTGAAGACCTAAACTAATAATTGCTAACATCCGCTACCTTGTACTTAGTTTTACATGGATTTCATGCTGCCGTATTTTTAGAGAAGCCAATTTCCTTGTAGATGCTATTACTAATCTTGGCTACTCAATCGACGTAATGTTTATATATGTGTTTGTTTATGGGGGTCGGTATGTTGTTGTGTTCTTTGTAATGAACTATCATCCTTATGACAAAGAACGAGGTTGCCGGATTTACCTTGTTAGTGATAATTTGACATAAACTACATACTTTGCTCCATTCAGATGGTCTTTTGATTTAGATCCAAAAAACACACAATGTAAACTACATACTTTGCTCCTTCCAAATAGTATTTTGATTTAGACCAAGTCAACGCACATTTTAGGAAAAAAAAACCCAAATTAATTTTTTGTTAATTAATGTTCATTGATTTTTTTATTTTAGGGTTGGATAATCTATTATTTATTTTAATGACAAATTTGTCTTTTGAAGTAAATATGGAAAATAACTTTTAAAAATCTTGATGTAATGCTTGATTTGATCCAATTATGCATATTGATCAATTTTGACCTAGCCTCTCTGCACACACAACGTGAGCGCAAGAGGCCTTTTTTTTATTCACAGAGTCGCTATACGCCTCAAAAGATGTATTACGTACTTTTTTTCTATTGTACATTATAAGAGAGCTTTTTCATGAGGGAGACTTTCTTTATCATGCACACAATTTCCTTTTCTTTTTCTTTTTTTTTCTTTTTTTTTTTTTTGCTCCAAAACAAACTTTAATTAAGAGAAAAGCCTTGAATACATCCAATTGCACTGCGATCAAAGTTTAGAGCTTGGATTGCAGTAGAAAGGATAGTATGATCTCAAATGAGAGTGTTTGGACTACTAAAACATACACTAGTAATTGCATCTGCAACAAAATTAGCTTCCCTAAAAATATACTTCCTAGAGATACTCAGAAAAGACCCCGCTAGGTTTCTGATATCCAAAACAATATTCTTGAATCTCCACGGAATCACAAATCTCCCAATGACTACATCAATGACCAACTTGGAATCTCCTTCAACACGAATGTTTTTAAATTCTCTATTTCACTCCATAATCCTAGCATCTTTAAGGCCAACAGCTTCTGCGATAGAAATTGTATTTTCTCCTAAGCATCTTGTTCCCGCAACAATAAGGCACCCATAATCATCTCAAATAATGAATTAGCGAACAATTCTTTCTCCTGATATGTTAGTTTTGATTTGATCTTGGAATTCTGCTCTGGCTTGTTAGGATCAAGGCTGATGTACATAGTGTCCTGATCGGCCTTTGACTTTGGAATGCTGTCTCTTTAGGAGTCAAGATCTAGGTCGAACTCCTTATAACTTGTCTGTTGACCCTCGGGCTATGAGTGCTTTGATGATTGGTCCATGGGAGCGCTGAAGCTCCGTTCTCCCTTTGGGATCATGTTAATACTCTCGACATCACATCATCATGTTGCCACTCCATCTCCTTTTATCTTTTTTACCGCATCCAAAGCAAGGTAATGAGCAACAGATGGTAAGTCGATGACACATCTTTCATCTTGTGTAGCCAATTCCGGCCAAGATTGGCGTTATGGGGAGTCGAGCAATTGATAACGTGGAAGGTCACTAGATGGTAGTAAGGTTTTGCCTGAATTGCCAGCTTCACCGTTCCTAGGGACCGGACAGGGTCCCTGATCCACTGTCCACCAAAACCCGACTAACTAAGGTATTGGAAATCTATATCTTGATTGCAAAGGCATTGTCATGGGGAGAACATCTTGCAAGTCTTGACCAAAGAACATCAAGATGTTAGAGTTGATGATCAGGGGTTTGTTGATGGAAGTCACCGTTTGTTGCTTCTTGCACACCGCCTTCCTTTATTACCGAGTTTCTTTTACAAATATTCCTATTCCCTGGATATGCAGTTGACTCCGGGAAGCATCTCTTCCCTGAAATGTTGGGTAAGATAAAGACCTCAAAGCCTTCTGGACTTTCTTCATTGTGTTTCGGGAGGAGGTCGTTAAGGTGATGCCTTTTGACTGAAATTAACAATTATTGTTGGGATTTTGGTAGGTGCTGCCTAGATCGATGCCTCCTTAAAACAAGAGAAGGCATCCTTAAGTTCTTTCACTTGCATCTTTAGATCAGTGAATCTTGCCGGTTTTTTGGCTAGTGGGTTTTCTCAAATATTTTCCAAAGATAGACATACCTCTATCAAATCTTCCCATATCTGGTCTATCGCAGAAACTCCACCATTATCAGGGTTAGCGCCGTGCGGGGAGATTGTGCAATTGCAGTATGATTGCTTGGGAAGGATGCTGAAGTTAGTAAGCAAGTATAAGACTCAAGAAGTGGGCAAGAGAATTAGAGTGCGATGATTGCGTTACACATGATGAACTTTAGATGAGTGTATTTATACTAGCTGAGATAGAGTCTTTTTTAGGATATAATCCTTGTACTATGCCGGGAGAATCCTAAAGGATATCTAAAAGTAGATATTGCATCATTTTTAAGTGTGATTACTTGTGGTGCACGCTGATTCCTACATTATAGGAACTCCAAGACTTACAAAGGATCTTGATGATTCCATACGTCTTGCAGAACAATAATGGTCAATCTCGGCAAAGTAGCTCGAACTTCGCCCACTGCTTTAGAATAGGATGAGGGTGGCACCATTGCTCCGTTAATCCAGCTTCGCTCAAAGTTATTGAGTCTATGATCGGACTTTTGAGGTAATTGTATTCCGATCAGCCTTACTTTGGCCATGAAAAATCATGGTTCCACATTGGATATTACGTATTTTCATCGTACAAATTTCATAAACGGAACCGTACAATTTTTTTAGTCTTCATTTAAAGATCATCCTTACCAAAAACTAAAACAAATTGAGGTCATTTAGTCATCCAAATCTATCAAATAAATGGCCGGTTCATCATTAATATTGACACGCCCCGATCCTGATGTTCGGGGGACAGTGGGATGGCCATGTGCTGGCCGACACCCAAGGATGACACAAGCCATTTAATGAATGCATATGCCGAGAACATGTGAAACATGCATATAAATTTTGCGCGAACTACGCAATATAATATCCAAATACAAACCATACCAGAATAATATAATAATAATATTCAGCCATCAACAAAATGATAGTGATAATGTATGACATGTTTAGAGCATACATCTAATTCACAATACAAGTGGAAGGTGTGACAGAAAGTGTTATTACAAGTGATATCAAAAGCAGAGAGGATGGCATGATATCACTGGTAGGGGAATGCCTTATAGCTCGGATCGTATGCCTCGTTCCTATGTCTTGAGGGGGCACAAAACAAACATGAGTGGACCAAGTTGATATATATAATACTAAAACAGTTATTCATCAATGTACTAACCCCCAAAGTTTATGAAAACTCAATAGTATACTATGTAATAGGTTTTCCGAAAACCCTAGCATGCTATAAAACCTTTCATAAAACATATATCGTATATAATGTGCTAAATAGTGGTATCATAATTGATCGAAACCACTACATCACCCGACCTTTTGCCCAAATATATGAATATCTTCCGACCCGTATGCCATTACATCACCCGACCCGTAGGCCAAATATATGAATATCTTCCGACCTGTAGGCTACTACATCACCCGACTCGTAGGCCAAAATAAATATCTTCCGACCCATAGGCCACTACATCACCCGACTGAAGCCAATATAAGTATCATCGCCCGTAGGCAGAACAGTGACCACTAGATAAACACAAAAACATTGAATATAGTCTTTCCAACATAAGTACATATATCTCAACAGAGCTCAGTTAGTCAAACATCATATCTCAAAACATCTTCATAGTATATAGTTATCCATCATATATACTACAAAGAACATGAAGATCGATAAAGCATGGTATTCCAAAATATTCTCAATAAAGCATGATATCTCATAATAAGTAAAATCTATTTTACTCATAAAACGTTTCATAAAATGTAATCATTAAATCATGCTTTTCATGTACGTATTTCTAATAGTAAAATATGCATTTAGAAGGAGGCCACTCACAGATACTCTGTCGTCGAAGAGTCATGCAAAATAGGAAGGATGGAAACTCTGCTAATAATCTCACCTAAGCACATAAAGGGTCCAATTAATAAAACTCTACCATAACGATTGAATTTCTGAAAACAGACATCATAAATGGATTCATGACGTTGACAAACATAAGGGGGGACCTCATGTAACCCCATGCACTACCACACGCTGAGATGGGTCGTCGAAAACCCAGCCCAAGGCTTTGGACTGGAAGACCTGGTTTAGGGTCTCGGGTCGAGTATGACTCAGTTTTTGACGAGGGAGAAGACCGGAGCTTCCCAAGCTCCGATCGACTTCGTTACTTAACCCTAGGGTACGATCTAGCTATCAAGTTGAAGATTAGGAGGAGAGGAAAATATTTGTACCTACAACATGCTGTGAGGTGGCCGGAGTCGGTCGGAGTTTAGCTCGAAATCCATGGGGCTTGCGGGAGTCTCTAAGCCCTTGCACTAGTTCCCTTGGTGCTACCTTCTTGGTCCTGGGTTCAAGGGTCAATGTTTGTGGGTCATGGGTTCGAAGGTTGGTGTGTGAGTGTCGTTGGAGGGGTGAGAGCACAGAAAGAGAG